CCTGGCCCTGGACACTTCCAGGGATAGGGCAGCCCAAATTTCTCTGTCCAGTTAGGAACCTGTCCTGTGTTAGGCAGGATGGCTTTGGATACACCTGAGGGATCTTTGGTTGGATTCTCCAACTGGGATTTGCTCTTTAAACGTGTTACTTTGGTATTACAGCATGAGGAAAAGCTGCTTTCTGTGGAGAGTGGCAGAGCCCTGGAAGAGCTGCCCAGGGAGGTTGTGGAATTCCCTCTGGGCACATCCCAAACCCACCTGGCTGTGTCCCTGTGTCACCTGCTGCAGGTGACCCTGCCTGGGAGGGGCTGCACTGGCTGATCCCTGAGGTCCCTTCCAGCCCCAACCATTCTGTGACAGCAGGAAAAGCAGGAAAAGGTGGGATCCTTGAGGGTGGGAAGGATGTCAGAATCTCCTTATTTCCCCCCGTTCCTGGAACTGGAATTGGAACGAGCTGCTCCTGCTCACCCAGAGCCCTGGGATCTCCTGCTGCCTCTGGGAGTTGTTCTCCAGCGTGGAATGGAGCCAGACCAATAATGTTGCCATAATGGAAGAGCTGTTTTCCAGTGGGTTTGAAATGAGAATTATTAAATGCTTAATTCTGGTTATCTGCAGAGCCCATTCTTTAAGGAGCCTGCAGTGACAGAGGGAGGGTGGAGATGAGAGCAGAGCACTTGTGCCCAGCCTGAGGATCCGAGTTCCACCTTTATCCAGGACCTTTCTGGCTCTTCACATTTGCATAACCCATGGAAATTTTGTGTGGAAGAAGCACGGGATGGGGAGTTTATATGGGTGGGTTTTTATCAAGTATTTCAATTAATTCTTGTAGCTGCTTCATTGTTCTCCGAACACGGTGCAAGGCACTGGCTTACACCAGCATTCCCACACATTTCCCTCTGGAAAACAGGGAAACCACGCTGGTAACAGCAGCCTTGGCCACTTCCAGGGGTGAATTGAGCAGTTTCTGTTGGGATTAAGTTCATTTTGGTGCAAACTCCTCCCAGTTTGGGCTGCCTGGAGGTGAGTGGAATGAAGCACTGCGTGTTTGCTCTTGTCCCAGCCCTGCTCCACCCTCCTGATGGCAGCACAGGGATTTCTTTCCTTGGAAAATCCTGTATTTCCCAGCTCAGACCTGGAAACCAGCAGCTGATAAAGAGATAATTCAGCTTTTGCTCTCTAGGAGCTGCTCTGCTGTAAGACCCAGAGATCCCTTTGTTTTCCTACTGCATTTCAGGCATTTGTGATTTATATTGGATCCAAACGAATCATCCACAGGTGAAAGCTCTACTATCCCAAATTTATTCAGAAATCCAGGCTCAGCTTGGCTTTGGAATGGAGATTTTCAGTCAGAAAAAAACAACTGAACCAGCTGTTCCTTGGGCAAATGTGTTATACACAGACAGTTGCCTTAAATTAGCTGAGTCTCACTGCAGTGCTGCATTTTGGGTTGTGTTGTCTTAATTTCTCTTCCTGCAGCAAATCCATCTGGGGGAAGGGAAAAAAAAGATGGAAATCTGCTCAGTTCTTAAGTTTTGGGTGTTTCTGAGCAATGCTCCTCAAAACTTCTCTAGAACTTGAAGGCACTTTATGAACAGAAAATAAGAATTTTCCTGCTTTTGCTGAAGAGAATGGTGTGCAGCCTAAGGAAATGCTAAAATGCCATTTCAATTGCATTAAAACTTCTTGTGTTTTCAGGTAGAGTGTGGCCATATTTGCTTGACTTAATAACTCCTGAAAAAGTTGATCTTCTTCTTATTGAGATCTCTTAAATTGTTGGTCCTGCAGGAGGATAAGTAAGTCCAAACTCTGAACTGCTTAGGGATGGGAGCAGAATTTTAACCAGTCCTTTTTAGTGTTTTCCCTTCCAAATCCAGTGAAATAACCTCATAATCTTCATAAAACAAAGTTTTTGTGCCTGGCAAGGCAATTAACTTCAAAATATTCCTGTTCCTTAAGCTTGATGATCACATCTGCTTATTTTTCCCTCAGAAATTCTCAAGCTGTCTCCTACCTGGATAACAACCAACAAGAAGCTCTGCCTTGTAGCTCCTTCCAGAATTCCTCACTCTCCAAGCCGGTGTTAATTCTGAAATATTAAAATAATCCCATCTGCTGTTGTTTTTTGGGTTTTTTCGCATTGTATTTTCTTGTCTGCCACCCTTCCTTCCTGCTGCTTCCCTCCTGGAATTTGTCCCTTCCAGGGGTTTCTTTGGATGATCCAGCAGCGAAAACTCCAATCCTCAAGGCTTTGGAATCTGAACCTGCTGTGGTTTGGGGAGGGAAAGGGGAGCAGGGAAGGGAAATCAGCCTCACTTGGGCTGTGGGATGGTTGTTCCCTGCAGCTCTGAGCATCTCTGTGCTGCCTTTTCCTCCTCTGGTTTAGGGATGCTGCATCTTCCCACTGCTGGAAGGACCCTGCTTGCCTAAGGGACAGAAAAACCTCAAAAATATTTATTTCTCTATTATTTTCCGCTTTCTCATAAAAACTTGGCTTTGTTTTAGTGCCACTTCCAGCTAAATGTGGTCCAGGCTGCTGTATCCTGCAGGAAGGATCAGAAACGTGATTTGCAGTTAGAGCAGCAATGGGAATGGGATGGGATGTTGGATTTGCTGTGATCTGCAGTTAGAACAGCAATTTTAGGTGGTGTTTTCCAGTTGGAATGTTGGATTTTCACTTAGAACAGCAATTTTAGGTGGTGTTCTCCAGTTGGGATGTTGGATTTTCACTTAGAACAGCAATTTTAGGAGGTGTTCTCCAGTTGGGATGTTGAATTTGCTGTGATTTTCACTTAGAACAGCAATTTTAGGTGTTCTCCAGTTGGGGGACTTGGGACAGGGGACATTTCCCCCAGGATGAATGGAAAACTGGGATTACTGGTGAGGTTTGTAACCTGTTCTTACATTAACAGTTTGTTATAAACCATTTCTCAGTCTGGGATGGGACTGTGGGGTTTTATTGGCAAGAGCTTCCTGCTGCTGTGTCTTTTTCTATTTATTTATTTTTGTTTAGCTGCAGACCTCCAAGTTAGCTGCTGTTTGAGAGGATTTGTTTAATATTGCTTATCTGATGATGATTAAGGAATCCAGTGTTTATAGCATCAGCTTTGACCTCCATGTTAGTTCAGCTGAGCAACCAGATAAATGATGAAGAAATTCTTCAGCAAGCTCCCCCCATGTTATTTAAAATTAACTCTTGAGGTGCTCTTCTAAAGCTGATTCATTCTTTTTAAGAGAAATGGCTTTTGAGGAAATTTTAGCTGCTTTAGCTACATTGAAAGGCTGTTGAGGTTTGGGTTTTGGCTTGGTTTTAGCAGCAAACTTGTTTCTATGTCTGGAATTTAGTCCTGTGGCATTTAGCAAATAGATGAGGAGTGAAATGAATGTTGTAAAACAAAACTGAACTGTGGGAACTTCAAGCTTGGGTCTGTAAATGACAACCATAAAAGGGTTAGGGTCCAACACAGCTTTGATAAAAATTGATTTGCTCAGAAATTCATTAATGATAAAACACTGTAATGAGTTGATGTAATTACATCATTTTATTTCTTTTCTTGCTTCGTTCTCTCATAAATCTCAGGGCACAGATGCTTTGGTGCTGCCTGTACAAACAGAAAGCCTAAAACATCGATCTTTTGATTGATTTCCTCTGTGTGTTTTCACAAACACAAATTATCCTTAAAAAAAGAGGATTTCTATCCAAAAGATTTCCAGCAGAAGACGCTGCTGTTACACCGGGCTGGGTGACACCACGTTTCCCTGAGCTGGAATTTTAACTGTGGTAATTTTGCTGATCAAACAGCAAAGTTTAAGACAATTCAGTGTCAGCATGGAAAACAACCTCCAAATTAACAAACCCCTTCGTTCCCAGCGAGGAGCACTTGGCTGTTGTGTGCAGAACAGAGTCAAAGAGGTTTTTAATATTCTGTAGCTCAAGGACTTGGCTCCTCTTCAAACATTCCCAGCTCCACAAGGATGGGTAATTTGGCAAGTGACTGTGCCCCTCTAGGGGCAGAAATGTGGAAATTGCTTCTCCAGGTAAATTCAGACCAGGGGAGAGGGGGTTTAACCACAGGGGGAAGGGATTCCTGCTGGGATTTGGGATGCAGCTTCCTCAGTTTCCCAGGCTCTGCTTTCAGCCTTCCCTGCCTTAAATTCTTCAAACAGCGTGGAAAACATGCTGCTGCTTTCCTATTATTTTCTATTATTCTATACTTGAAATCTGTTTTAGAAAGTGAAATCTATTTTAGAAAGTAAAATCTATTTTAGAAAGTAAAATCTATTTTAGAAAGTTACACTGTGAAAAACCCAGCCTGTATTTGATACTTCATCTCGTGGCAGAATTTCTGAGCACCCAGGTTATCCAGATTATCCCAAGGGATTTTAGGGAAATGAAAATCCCTCCTGACACTCCAGGGCTTTGAATGTGGGAGTCAGAGGTGCTGTGGGAATACAGAATCCGTGCTGTGCTGGTGATGGAGCCGCAGACTTGGGTGGCCGTGTTTGTTTGTCCTGGCAGAGCTCACTAAAACACGAGGCCTTTAAAAACCATTTCAGCAATTTGGGGATGTTTGAGAAGTTACAAAATGCTCCTTTCACGGAGCTCTCCTGCACTCTCAGAGCTTGGGGGTGCAGGTGGTGTTTGCTGGGTGCCTGTGTGTCCTGAGCCTTGGTCCTTGAAAGGACACATGGCAGCACATCCTCATCCCTCCTCCCTGCTTTTTTCTCTGGAGGGAAGCGTTGTTTGGCTTTTAGGGGGTGCTTTTATCTCAAGATTCTTATCCCCAGTTTTAATTTTAATTTGGATTTTAATCCCCAAGTTTCTGTATACAAAGGAGAGGCATTGATGATTTTTTATTATTTTCTTTTTTAATCCACTCCTTTAGAGCCTGAATTCCAACCTCACCTCTTGGCTGGTTGAACAGCAGGGCAAAACTTCCCAGAGTGAAGCATGAAAACATGCCAGGAATTCCCACTCACTCTCCTCCTCTTCTCTCCTCAAGGTGCTCTTACGGAGTGTTACGATGAACTGGGCAACCGCTACCAGCTCCCCGTCTACTGCCTTGCCCCACCCATCAACATGATCGAGGAGAAGGGTGACCTGGAGACTCTGGATATTCCTGACCCCCCTCCCAACTCCGGGCACGAGTGCCAGCTGCGCCTGCGCCTGTCCACGGGCAAAGACCTGAAGCTGCTGGTGCGCAGCATGGACACCGTGTACCACATGAAGCGGCGGCTGCACGCCGTGGAGGGAGTGGAGCCGGGCAGCCAGCGCTGGTTCTTCTCTGGGAGGCCCCTGGCAGATAAAATGAAACTGGAGGAGCTGAAAATCCCAAAGGACTACGTGGTGCAAGTCATCGTGAGCCAGCCCTTAGCAAATCCCACCCCGGTGGAAAACTGATTTCTGCTCGTTCTGGTGGTTCTTCTCTCCTGCGTCTCTGTTGTGGGGTTTGTTTTCAGTGCCCTCTCTTCTCTTTGGGGTTGTCCTGCTCGTGGATGGGTTGCAAGGAATGACCAGCAAAAAATTCCATCTGTGATGGAGATCTGCAAAAACGTAAAAATGTAACCTGGCCTCTGGGGTTTGCCTGATCTCGTATTGAACACGACAGCAAGAGCAGCAGGGCAAGGGCAAAGGGAAGGGAAAAGAGGGAGGGAAGAGATTGTTCACTTAATACAGACATCTAATGATCCTGAAACCGTCAGTGGTGTCCTGATCCCTGAGGCCAGAGCAACAGAGAGCACTTTTATCTAAAAAAACCAACTTTGAACCGAATCAAATCTCCAGTTGTGTATCAGCAGCACACACAGTTCCTGCAGGAAGGAGCCGGTCACGGGGATCCCTCCGGCTCTGACGAGGCACAGCCAGCCCTGGGCAGTGGAGCTGGGCTGGGCTTTGCTCTCTGGCAGCTCCTGGTGATGCTCAGAGCGAGCAATTGTACATTCCAAGGTGGCAGTGCAGCCCTGTGCCACCGCTGGCTCAGGCAATAACTCAGCCCTGTCTGCTCTGTACTGTAATTTCCTGCTCCAGCCCTGACTCAGCCTCAGTTCCTGCCCCGTGGGGCTGCTGAGCTCCTGTCCCTCGGATCACGGAGAGGCTGAGCCCAGGTGAGCCATGAGGAGCAGCCCCCCTGTCCCACAGCATCCCAAAGGGACTGAATTCCTGCCAGGAGCCGTGGGCTGCAGCTCCCTGTGCTCCCCTGCAGGGCTCAGAGCATTGCAGCTCCCCTGCAGGGCTCAGAGCATTGCAGCTCCCCTGCAGGTGCATTGCAGCTCCCCTGCAGGGCTCAGAGCATTGCAGCTCCCCTGCAGGTGCATTGCAGCTCCCCTGCAGGGCTCAGAGCCTGCAGCAGGTGAGGATGCTGGCAGCCTTTGGGGTGTCACTGGGAGCTGTGGTGACTCCCCAGGACAGCTGGAGCTGTCCTCACCTGCACAGAGCCTGGCCCTGGGCTCCCCCAGCCACTGCTTTCCCTTCAGAATGTAACAGGGGCCCTTTCAGCACATGACAAATCCTTTTGTAGTCTCACTGACCTTTTTTGGGGCTGGGGGATGCAGTTTGTTCCCCCAGCTGGAGCTGCTCTGTGTCACTGTGGCTGCTCTGCTCCCCTGCCTTTGGTGGAGGTCGAGGCCCTGCTCTTTTAATCATCATTTCTGTTTGTTTGGGGTTTCAGCCATCATTGAAATCACTTCTTCCAAAGTTAAATGTGCTCTTAATATGGGGAATAGCAGATTTTTTATATTTTTTTCCCCCCTGGTTTCTGTCCTCCCTCTGTGAACTAAGTGAAACCTGGGGATTCCTGTGACAATTTTAAACTTCTGCTCCTTCAAGTCATTCCACAGAAACCAAATTTGGCACTCAGAAACCCTGAGTTTGCACCAGAGTCAGGATGGTCAGGGACATCCAGCAGGTGGAAGCAGAATTTCATTGATGGTTGGGAAACAGAGCCACGTTCTGTTTGCATTCCCCACCCCACCCCACCCAACTACAGCTTTTTTTTGGTCCTCATTTTGTACCAAACCTGGGAGTTTGACAGCTCCACTGGCCCCTCTTGGTACAGGATGCCTGAAATGCAGTGGCACAGCTGTAGAAAGGAAAATCCCTGTTCTCATAATCACCAAAGTGACTTGCTTTGCTTTCCTTTTTTCTCCTTTTTTCCTTTATTTTTAAAAGGTGAAAGTGAGCTGATCAATACTAACCTAGAACAAGTTTTCTATTGTGGAGGGTTTTTTTTTTTAAATGCAAATTTGATTTACTGTACTTGAGGTTTTTTGCAGCCAAATCTTTTTGCATTCCAGGGGAGGGGGAAATATTTGCTACATAAACAAGTCAAAAATCTCTCTTGGGTTTTCTCTGGGCAAAGGATGGGTTCATGCCAGGAGGACACTACTTGTCTTATAAAGCATAATTGATATGTCTGGATAAATCCTCTTTATGGTGTCCTTTCCCTGCAGCCCCTCCTGGAAAGGGGGAAAATTCTGATGGATTAAGGAGGAGCAAACCTGGAGCTGTGAACACTAAAACACTTTTTTTATTATTATTATTATTATTTTTTTTTCTTTTATTATTTTTTCTATTTTCATTCAGGCAATTTGTCACCAGGTGCTGGTTTTGAGATGTAGGGGCTGGGATTTGCTCCTTCTTTCCCTCTGAGCTGGAAAAGGCTCAGTTTTCTGACACTGTTCCAGATGATCATGTTTTATATTAATTGCTTTTATGGCAGGGAGAAAAGGTGATGCTCTGAAGGCCATGTTGTGAGTGGGTTCTGAGTAGAACAGAGACTTTGTTCATGAAAATTCTCTTTAACAGCCTCCCCCTCCTTAATCACATATCAAAACCTGAAAGAATTCAATGGTAAAATGCTTTTAGAGGTGACAGTGAAGACTTTGACCCTCTCTGTATAAAGTGACAGCAGTACTGAGCACATACTCTGCAAGAAACACAATTTTACAAGATTTCTATTAGGAAAGAACTTTACATTTCAAAATAATCTGTTAAAAATATCAGTACAAGGCTGTAAAAGCACATGGCTGACAGGGCCACGTATAGAACTGGAAATTGTGACATAACAGAGAACATTTGTGTCTCAAATGATTGAGTTTGCCCTAAAAGTTGGGGTTTGGTGCAGATTCCAGTGTGGGGGAGAAGCCTGGGAGTGTGGGGTGGCTCAGGGGGTGTCCCTTGAGGGAGGGAAACTTATTTGAGTGCAGGACATGGCACAAACCAGGGGCTGTCCTGTGGGGCCTGGTGGCTGCTCTGGAGAGGATGGAGAACCCCAGGAGGGGATGGAGAGCCCCAGGAGGGGATGGAGAGCCCCAGGAGAGGATGGAGAACCCCAGGAGAGGAGAGGATGGAGAACCCCAGGAGAGGATGGAGAGCCCCAGGAGAGGATGGAGAACCCCTGGATTGCAGCAGGAGGGTGCTGGCAGCATGTCCTGGCTGGGTTTTGGCCCTTGGGGTGCTGTCCCCACCATCAGGGGGGTTATAGGTTTATACCTGGGGTATAAACGATGGGAACAGAATTTTAACGCACACGACTCAAGTGGGGAGGAATCAATTTGGGCTTTTTAAATTCCCCCACCTCAGCCCTCTGTGCCATTCCTGCTCAGCTCTGGCTGGGAGCTGATGCCAGGAGAACCTTTTTTAACCCTGTCAGTGACAGCTCTGACACAGCTCAGATTTTTCTACTCTTTCTCGTCACTCCTGCCCGACCTGATGAAAGTCACACTCCTGAACAGCTTGAAGGGCAGAGAGGCACAAACACCTGAGCCAGGTGCCCAAAAAAGCCCCAGGTGTGCTGCAGGTCCGTTTGGGGCACTGCAGAGTGATGCTCAGGGTCTTCTTCCCCACCCCAGTGCCAGCTGCTCCCTCAGAGCCCCCCAAATGTCCCTGCCTGCCTTGGTGCCTGGCAGGTTTTGGGGTCCTCTGCACAAAACACAGCTTGGGATCCGTTTTCTGAAAGCCTTTGCTCCTCTGGAGCTGGGGAATATTTTGGAAAATGAATTGGTGGTGTGCTAAGTTGGGTTTTTCATAGACACCTTAAATTTGGGGTGTAACAACACCAAAAAAAACCTCAGCCCAGGAGCAACCAAACCAAGCCCAGCTTTTCTTTGCCTTCCACAGAAAGTTTGGGGAGGAGAGGAAAGAGGGAATCTTTGGAGCATCTGTGCATAATGTTTGGTGAAGGTCAATGATAACTTGATAAAATATTGCTGTAGTGTGATGTGCTTCTGCATATATATCCATTGCTAGTAAATAATGTAAAATCTTTTTGTTGGAAGTATTAAAAATACAAGAATACTCTTTGTTACAATGGTGGGACGCTTTTAGCCTTGGGGTTCTGGAAGCATTTTTGCTGTGTAGGTGTTGACAAAGTGAATGCTGAATGTTTCTCCACGTCTGTGATGCTTCAGAAATGGAAGGGGCAGCTGCATTTCTGGCTCTGGAGCTCTCTTTTCCAAACTTTTCCGTGTTCCTGTACAGACACCCGAGACCCTGCACCTTATGCAGAGAATGTTTACATTATAAAAAAAAAAAAAACAACAAAAAAAGGAATTTTTTTGGCTTTTTCCCCTGTGCTGCTCAGATCCTGTTACTTTGAAATGAAAGTAGTCTCTATTAGAAAAAGGGGCTTTTTTTTTTGTTTGTTTGTTTTTTGCCTTTGCCCTTCCCTGTAATCAAACCCCTCCTGGATTGTGGCTGGAAGCTCTGGGACAGTTTGGACTCTTCTGGAGCGGGATTAGAGGTGTTTGAGAAAAGTGTTTTAAAAAAAAAACCCTGCCTTGGCTGTGGGGATGAGCTTTGTCCATGCTGCAGCTTCCTTGGAAAGCAGCAGATCCTGCTCCAAACCCCCTGGATGTCGTGGCTGCCTCGCAGATTCCCTGGGAAGCCTCGGAGTTGGAATTCCCGGCATCCGCGTTCGTGTTTCCTCCCCAAATGCTGAATGTCCTGCTCTTCCCTCTGCAGCCACAAACACTTTGTGGTGGTTTGGATACACAAATCTGCTCCAAGATTTCCCTTCCCAGGAATTGTTTGGGATTGCTGTGTCCTGCAGGTGCCTCCTCTCCTCTCCCGAATTCCATCATCCATCCGTAGGGATGGAGTCGGAGCTCTCCTTCCCAAGGGAGACACTTCACTGAGCCTCCAGCAGACAGGCAGCTGGAAAATGAGATATTGTAACCAAAAGGCTTCTTCAAGTGGACTTTGAGACTTTCAACCAACGTTGTCTGCTGGATTTTCCGTGGAGAATTTGTCCCGACCCTCCGAGCTCGGGATTTGTGCATTCCCCACGTGAAGCCCACTCAGAGCCACGAGGCAAAGAGACAACTTCAAATCCTGACTCCTGCCTTAAAACCTTCCGTTCATCTTGAGCTCCAGAAAAATCCTGCTCATTCCCAGACCCCCCCTTTTGTTTTGTTTTGTTTTGTTTGTTTCCGTTAGGAAATCGGAATCCGCTCCAAAGGCTGGAGACAATTTAAGGCAATGGAAAACAAAAGAAATTGGAGCTGGTGGCTTTATTAAAACAACAAACTGGTCTTGGCTTAAAACCCTTATTTGTGCCTCTCAAGTCCAGGGAATGTTTCAAAAGAGGTGGATTTTGAGCAATGCTGGCCAGGACTGCGGTGGTGGCACTCGGTGGCACTCGGTGACACTCGGTGACACTTTTGCTTCCGTGTGCTCTGAGCAAAGGACTCGGCTCTGTGTCCTCTCTGCCTCATGGGAATGGCTTTCAAAGATGGCTGGTACCATCAAATTTGTACTTCTTGAATAAATACCTTCATTTTTATGGTAAAACTCTGGCTGTGTGTTTGTGCTGTGGGATTGGATTTCCTGTTCCTTGGGATCTGCTGCTGGGTTTGGGATTGTCCCCCAGGATGGGGCTGTTTCCCCTCTTAGGAACACATTTAGCATCAAATATTTGTGTCAAACAGGATTTTTAATATTTTTTCCCCCTCCCTGGTGAGGGAAGAATTCCAGAATTCCAATTTTTATCCTGCTTTGAACACCAGGTAAATTCCAAACTGCCTTATGGGTTTTTATCTGGTACTTTATTAATGCCTCACAGGTTGTCTCTAGACTGATAAATTATTTATTATCATAGGGAAGATCTTTTACTGCTGAGAGAAAACCACCCTGAATTCCCAGTGGGAACGCTGTGCAAATTCCCTGTATTTAAAACAACTAAAAAAAAATTAAGCTTTTTCCCCCTTTCATTTACAAAATTAAATTAATCTTGGAGATGCTACATGTTAAGAAATACACTCAGTGGTTTTTTCCTCTTTAATTTTCTTCAGTGGGGCTTTTGGCTGGGAGCTGGAATTCTGCAATTTCTCCATTACCTCTGATACCCCTAAGGGACACATTTTAATGTGGATTTGGGTGTGTGACAATGTTTTATCTTGTGGACAAGGTGTGAAATCCACGGAGAATGCAGGGCCTGGAGATGTGCCTGGCTCTGGGGATCAGCTCCTCGCTGAACAAAAATAATGGATCTGGGTAATTGGCCTGTAATTACATTCCCTGACACTTTGTCTTAATTCAGGTCAGCACTTTTATAGTCTTGATTAACTACCAGAGGTATCAGAGGAGTAGGAATAATTCTTTGTCAGCTGCAGCTAAATATTTCCATTTTTTAAATAAGAACCCGGCGTCATTTCACTGCTGAATTTGGGATATGAGTCACAAACAAACAAGGGTGTGATTTTCCTGGAAATTTTCCCTTTACAGATGTAAAAATATGTAATTTTTATTCCTTTTCTATGTGAGTGTGTACACACAGTGTCTTAAATTTATCCATATTCCCCTTTTTAATGGATACTCATAAAATACAAGGTGCAAAGCCCTGTGTGCAGCCGTTCCACAAAACCACAGGATGCTTTGGCTTGGAGGGGACCTTAAGGAGCATCTTGCTCCAAATTTTTTTCCAGGGATATTTTCCACTATCCCAGGTTTCTCCAAGGCCAGATTCTGTGCAAGGCCTGGAATTTTCCAACTGAATTATTCCTTCCTTCCTTCCTTCCTTGGGGATAACTCCAGGGGCAGTGCTTGGTGTCCTGGGCTGTGTGAGAGGGGGAATAAATCCATGGCTGAGCAGCCAAAATTCAGCAGAAGAGACAAAACCTCCTCTCTTGCCTTCTCTCCACGTGGCCTTAATTAGCTGGGCTGGTTAATGAAGCTCAGGGCGGTTCCTGGGGCTGTCCCTCAGCATTCCAGCAGGGATTTCAGGGGGATGTGGGGCAGCAGCTGCCCCTGGCACTGACCCAGCCTTGGAGACATCCCAGTTTGCCCCAGTTTGCCCCAGTCTGGAGGAGGTGACACCACCATCAGTCCTGGGGATGCTGCGAGGCCGAAGAGCAGCGATTCCTGCTCCTCCAGGGAATTGCTGGGCAGCAGCTCTGGGATTTATTCACTTTGTGAACTGGTGCTGGCTGGGAGCTGAGCCGGGTCAGGGGTGTGAGGCTGCTCCTGGGTACAGGATTCCCGCAGTTCTCCTGCTGGGAGCTCTCCATGATCCCTCCCTTCCTCTTTTTTTTTTTCTATTTTGTTGCTTTTTGTCCAAGCAGGAGGCTGCAAACATTTCGGATTCCCTGCAGCTCAGTGATTAATTTTGGATTGGAGGCAGACCCCACCGTACAGGGTAGCCCTGCCCAGCAGGGGTTATTCCAGAGAAACGCCCCAAATCCAGGCTCTCATCCCCTTCTCCAGAAGAGTTTCCTGACTGAGGAGAAATCAATTCCAGCTGATTGCCTCGGGCTCATCCCGAGCACGATCCAGCTCCCAGAGCCCCTCTCTGGCTGCTGCTCTGCCCTCCCAGACGAGGTGCAGATGTTGCAGTGATTGACAACATCTGGACTGAGCAGTGCACAGCATTCCCAGCTGCTGGAAGTGGCCTTTTAACCAGGCAGCCCTGGAAGGGCGGCACCAACACAAGTTGGGGCTGAAAACCTCATTTCAGGGAATCCTGGCAGGGATTCCTGAGCTCCCTGCGCTGCTGAACCACCCAGGGGCTGCACACCCTGCAGGGCTGAGGTGCAGTCACAACAAATAACTGAAGGGGAGACTCTGGGGGCTCAAAGAGGAGAATTATCCATAAAAACAGTAACCCAGAGTCAGGGAAATGAATCCACAAACACCAGGGGTTTATGTCCAAAGAGGAGACAGAGGAGTCCTGTAACTTTATTCCAATAAAGGGAGAGGCCATGGCCCATTCCCCTGGGGTCTCTCCAATTTTTATTTCCTTTTTATCCCAATTTCCCGGCCATGTCCCTCTCTCTTTCCCCACTGCCTGAGGTACTTGAGAGGCACAGACTCCCCAGAATGCCTGACACCTGAGATTCCCCTCTGATGTAGAACCCTCCCTCTTAAATTTTAATTCTTATGGAATTTATGGTGTTTCCCCCATTGTCTCTTTCATCTTTCAATATCCAATTTAATTTACCAGCAAACCTACAGTTTGCTTGGAAAGGAAAATATATTTTTTTTCCATTCATCAGTCAGTGGAATCCTTCCCATTATTTCTTTTATCTCTCAGTGCTGGTTTGATTTACCAGCAGCTCGTTTGTAAAGATGAATCCCTCATTCCTCTGAGCAGAAAGGAGGAGGGTGTCCCTCAGTTCCTCGTGCCCCTGGAGCAGGTGGAGATGCTCTGTTCAGGGCGGAAAGGTTCAGGAACAAACCTCAGCACTGATTTCCTGCCTGGAAGGAGCACATGGAGCACGGAGCAGCGCTCACATCCCCACAACAGAGGGGACCTCCCGCCTCTCCCAGCCGCAGGAAATGCCAGAATCCTGCTGCTTCCTGCCATGGAGCCTCAGCTCTGCTGCTGCTGGCTCTGGGATGTGCTGGGGGAGCGACCGACACCAGCCAGGCTCCAAAGCTGCTGCCAGAGAGCCATGGGATGGTTTGGGGTGGAAGGACCTTAAAGCTCATCTCTCTCCACCCCTGCCATGGCAGGGACACCTCCCACTGTCCCAGGCTGCTGCAGCCTGGCCTTGGGCACTGCCAGGGATCCAGGGGCAGCCACAGCTGCTCTGGGCACCTGTGCCAGGGCCTGCCCACCCTCCCAGGGAAGAATTTATTCCCAATATCCAGCCTAAATCTACCTTCTGGCAGTGGGAAGCCATTCCTGTCCTGTCACTCCCTCCCTTGTAAAATTCTCTCTCCATCTTTCCTGCAGCTCCTCCAGGTGCTGTGAGGCCACAATTGTGTCACCCCAAAGCTTCTCCTCTCCAACCCCAGCTCTGCCAGCCTTTCCTCCCAGCAGAGCTGCTCCATCCCTCTGAGCATCCTCTGGGCTCTCTCCAGCAGCTGCAGGTTCTCCCCTGAGAGTTCCTTTCCCATCCCTCCCATGTCCATGCTTGGCTTCTCCCCTTCCTCCCCAAATTCCATGGGGGACACCCCAATGCTGATCCTGGGCTCTAAGCTCCGGATTAGAGCTGCAGGTCATGCCCAACATCAAAGCTGAGCTTTAGGGCTAAGCCTGGCTTTACCACCCCTCTCCCTCCCCACAGCATCCCAGCCCAGTGGGTGGAAGAGCAGAATCTGATCCTTATTCAGGTCGCTCCCATCCCGGAGAAAGCAATAAAAGTTCCCCTGAGGACAGCAGGGAGCTCTCAGGCATTGCCTGCACGAAGCTGAGAGCAATAATTAGCAGGATTTATTTCATTTGAAATGCCCAGTGCTCCCAGTCAGGCTGCACAGGCAATTAACAGCCCGGAACAGACACGAGATGCTGCTCAGAATTCACCGACAGTATTAATAAGATGATTTATGAGAGAGCCACGTGTGATTTCTGCCCAGAGAAAATGGGAAGGTGCTCATTGCTGTGCTCCTGTCTTCTCTTCCCGTCTTCTTCTCCCAAATTCCTTCCCACCCCACCACTGGAGGAAAAAAATTACTTTCCCAACAAACCAGAAACCCTGGAAAACCCCCACGTTTTTCTGTTGAAGGTGTCACTTTCAACAATTATTTTCAGTAAATTGCTAATCAATTAAATTCAAACACAATTCCTTCTAATAGCATATAAAAATAAACTATCCATAATCAAGTTTTTGGGGCTTGGGGATCCCCGGGGTGCGCAGGGCCAGCCCGGGGTGTCCCCTAGATGTCCCCATTCCACACGGGATGGCGGCTCCGCTCTCCAGGGGATGGAGGATGAGGATTTCCCAGCGGCTCCCGGCTGGCTGCTTCTCCCAAACCAACGCGGATTTCCCGGGGTCGCCGCTGCTGGGATGTGCAACCCGCGTTCCCCGCCCGTTTTCCCGGGAGAGGCAGCGGGGACCGGGCGGGCTCGGCTTTTCCGTGCGGGGACCGGGCACGGCCCCGGGGATGCGGCCCCGCTCCATCCCTGCCCCGGGATTCGCTCCGTTTGCCTGGGGCTGGGGATGCGCACCCGTGCTGAACCGGGCCGAACCGGGACAGAACGTACCGGGCTGAGCCGGGCCGAACCGGGGCACAGCGTACCGGGCTGAGCCGTGCCGAACCGGGACAGAACGTACCGGGCCGAACCGGGGCACAGCGTACCGGGCTGAGCCGGGCCGAACCAGGGCAGAACGTACCGGGCTGAGCCGTGCCGAACCGGGACAGAACNAGGAATACGAGCACGTCCGCCGCGACCTGGACCCCGGCGAGGTGTGGGAGGTGGTGGGCGAGCTGGGAGACGGAGCCTTCGGCAAAGTCTACAAGGTGGGCGCTCGCTCCGACCCCCGGGACCCCCGCGACCCCCGGCACCGGCCCCGCATCCCGTCAGCCGGGAGGAGCCGGGACGGGCACGGCGGCTGAGCTGGGCTCGGGAACGCGAAGGGGAAAGGAGGGAGAAAAACTTCCTTCTTTTTTTATTTATTTTTTTTTCTTGCCTGTTTTTTTACTTTTCTTTTTATTTTGTTTTGTTTTGTTTTGTTTGGTTTTTTTCTCGTCGCCCTGAATCGCCCGTTTTCAGAGCGATGCTTTTTGTGAGGAGACCCGAGCGCTCCCTGCCAAGCCCGCCGGTGCAATGAATGGAAGGAGGTTTTTTTGGAAGTCGGCACTTCCAGGGCTGTCTCCAAGTTTTTTTGAGTCTCCGGGGCTGACATGGGATTTGTGCCCCCGCGGTTGTTGCCGGCAGGAAACCCGGAGGGCCAAGAGGAGCCGAGTCCAGTGCTGTGAATGTTTAACCTCGGGGTTTAGGGACGGGGGTTTCAAGGATCAAAGATTGCCTGGACTTTGCTCTCCCTGCTGTCCCTGCTCTGAAATGTCCCGAGCAGGGGGCTCGGGGTGCAGGAGCAGGGTCCTGGGCACACCTGTGGGACAGGCAGGGTTTGGAATAGCGCTGGGAATGCCAGGGGCAGCTGGGGTTTGATGGCATCGTTTGGAATCTTTTTGGAATTCCAAAGCACTGCCTTTGGAAAAAATGAGAAATAAACAGGCCAGGAAGGGAGGCAGGTGGCTGCAGGTCAGGACGGAGGGATTTGGGGTTTATTTCTCATCTCTAGCACGTTATTTGATAGAAACTCTAAAAAACTCGGTGCTAAATACCCATCAAGAGAAACTTTTTAGTGAAGGATCCTATCCTCTAATAAACCACAATTCCTAAAAATCATATTTAAATCGCTTCTCCATTTATCCCTCTGAGAGCAGCATCAGTAGAAATTCTGCTGCCATTCTGCTTCTGTCTCCAAATGCATTGGAAACACATTTGTGGTGGCAACACTCACTCCTGGATGATTCCTTGCCTTTATTTGCTCAAGTTTCTCAGGCAGTGCCAGGAACCAGGTAAACACTGGAAAATAACTTCACTGGCCTCTGAGATAAAGGAAAACTTAATTATCAAAATGCTTTCTTATTTTAAACATGTATAATGTACCCAAATTAGGTGACTTGGATAATAAAGCTGCTTTGGAAGTGGCTGGTTTGGTTTTTAATCTGTTGTCATATCTGAATGCCTCAGTTATTAACCCCAGCCTCACACCAGGAAAACCATTGTCAGAGTAAGTTTATTACTGTCAGGCAATAACATCTCATCTTCAGCTCCTCTCATCCTCATTTTGACCCAAATGAGAATAAAAATGTCCCAGTGGACACCATGAATTTACAATCAGAAGTTCACTCCTTCTGGAAATTGAATATTCAGGCAAATTTTTTGCTGTTGTGGAGTTTTAACCCTGTTAGGCAGGGTGAGGTTTAACATCGTGCCAGAAATCAAATTTTATTGTATTTAACAACATTTCACTTCTCCATTGCTTTGATCTCTTCTCCACCTGTTCTCCATTCCATCTGGCAAAAGGTCACGCTTGGATTTTGAATTCTCATCCAAGAGTTTGTTGGTTCATTTAAGAATCCCAAATTATTTGGGGGTCCTGTGCTATAAATCCTTATTTTAGGTTAACAAACAACCAGAGACACATCTTCCCTTCAAATAAGGTTGCTTTATTGTCTTCCTTTGGTTTTTTTTTTTATTTTTATATCTGTGGTGGGGATGAGCATAAGGTGGGATGTGAAAGAAGGGGTTTGCCCTCTTGTGCTGCTCAGCTGCCAGAGAATTTTGGAGTAACCCACCAAAAAATTTCAGAATAAGCCACCACAAAATTTCAAAATAAGCCACCAAAAATTTCAGAATAAGCCACCAAAAATTTCAGAATAAGCCACCAAGAAAGCAGCTGAATAACCCACCTGTGCTCCCAAAATTCAGTGAACAGTTTGAATCATTCTCTCGACCCCAAATCCATTTGATCTCCTCACTAAAGGCATTGCTTGGAGCGAGGCTGGCTGTTTGCACGGCCCTGAGGTTTTCAGGATGTTTGAGGGAAGTTCCTGCCCGTTTTCCGTCCCTGCTCCACGGGCGGAGGTGACGGAATCCTGCGCCTGCATCCTGCCCCGTGTGCCATGTGCTGTGTCCCCTCTGGCTGCAGGGTTTGTACCCTGGGAGAAACTCAGCTGTGGAAAGATGGGAAAATGGGCTGGGTTCAGTAGGGTTGGGTTTGGTGAGGCTGGCTGCGAGCGTGAGGAAGGGGGGCTCGGGTATTTTGGGATATTCCTGCTCTGTGGAATCCCATCTGGAGCTGTGTCCTCGGGCTGAGCAAAGCTGAACTGGCTTCACACAGCGTTTCCAAAAGTAGGACAGGCTTCATTTAAATACTTATTAATTAAAGAGAATTAAATTTATAGTGGAATTGTGGATTGTACACAGCAGACCTAAAAATCCTGGGGCCAGCAGAAACTCCTGGGATTCCCCTGGTTCTACAGAAACTCCTTTTGCAGCAAAAGAGGATCTGCATGAGGAACCAGTGGAACAGAGGGCAGTGAAGCTGAGAAGGAGGAGGGGGTGGGGAGGAATCATTTCTTTCTAGTTCTTACTCGGTGAATGCTGTGGTTTTGGCAAGGCCAGAGGTCCAGTGAGGACGTGGTGGCAGCCCCTGGGTGACCAAACTTTGTCACCACCTCGTCCCAAGCTCATTAAATGATGATCTCTAATCCAGTGGGTGCCCACACAGGGTTGGGGGTCTGGAAAAGTTCCTCACTCAGAGCCTTCCCGAGCTGCCTCAGGAGAAAAGCAGAGTGATTTTTGTCTGGAAAACCCACCTAAGATACCGCTCAGAAACCCAGCAGAGCTGTGCTGTCACTTCAGAGCTGGGGGGACAATCAACCCCTGAGCTCTCGGGGAGGATGCTCAGGGTGAAACCAGCAGTGCTGGAGCCCCTGAGCCCCACAAAACCCCACACTGAGCCCTCGGGAAGGGATGTCTGAGCACTCCCGTGGCCAAGGAGAGCTCCTGGGCTGGCAGGGGCTCCTCTGGCCGGGACCTCGCTGCCTTTCTCCTGGGGAATTGTTTTGCTGCTCTTGTGCTATCTGCCCTGCCCAGCGCCGGCTGATGGGGACACCGGCTCCCCGATAAGGCTCCCCCTGGCAGGGTGGGGACAGCCTGCCAAAGGGGCTTTATTCGCTTTATTCCCTTCAAATCGCCTCCCGACAGCTCCGTCCCGCTGAGCCGCGGGGCCACAGCGAGTCACCAGCGCTGTCTTTGTGCCCTTGCTCTCCTTTCTTCTCCAAGATGCGCTTAAAAAAGGCGAATTTGGGTTCTCTGATGTGTTGTGCTGCTATCGGTGCTGTGCATGCTGCGGGCTAGAATGGGATTTGGGGAAGGAATTGTTCCCTGGGAGGGTGGGCAGGCCCTGGCACAGGTTCCCAGAGAAGCTGGGGCTGTCCCTGGATCCCTGGAAGTGCCCAAATCCATCTTGGATGGGGCTTGGAGCAGCCTGGGATAGTGGGAGGTGTCCCTGCCCATGGCTCAAAAATGAGCTGGAAGGTCTCTCACAGCCCAAATCGTTCTGTGATTCTACAATTTAACCTGTAATTCCTGGAAAGGGTGTCACGGAGAGATGTTAATCTGCCGGGTTAACTTCGGAAAGGGAAAGGAAACAAAAGCGGGAGAAGTTGGAGCTGATTTGCCACAAAAAAAAATGTAGGATCAAATCATGGTCTTGCCCTTTAGAACAGCTGAAGGGTTTTGATAAAATCTTTTCTCTTGGGAAAGAGGAATGGGAATGTTTAACAACATTCAACCTGGCTGAACTTTAAACTTGATTCTCACTTTCAACAATGGAAACGTGGGATGCTCCATCCCTGCCGCAGTCCTGTGCTCTGTGGCTGTCTCGGTGTGACAGGGGACAGGGACAGCTCTCCATGGCCTAAATATTTTGACAATGACTTCAGTGGCACAGCCCAGATCGTGGCAGTGCTGCTGGCAGTGGGAGCTCAGATCAGCCTTTCACCCTGCAGCACGTGGCAATTCTTGCTGTTCAGAGAAACTCCTCCCTCCGCATCTCATGGTTTTTTAAATGTTTTTTCTCCTGAGAATCCAGTTTCCTTGGAGAAAAGGTTCTTTTTTCCCTTGTCTGTGGGGTGCTGCTGACTGTAAGTGTGGGGTTCTCCTCGGGAGTCTCAGGCCAAGCCCCTGTGGCTGGGTGTCCCCAGGGCTGTGCTGTGTCCCCATCCCTGGCACTGCCAGCCTGCCTCGGCCTCAGTCCAGAGAGAAAAGAGATTCAGCCAGAGGAGCGAAGGCACGCTCTGCTCCCATGGGAAAGGGAGGGGGCAGCTCCCTCCCAGAGCAGAGTGTGGATGTGGCACCCCCAGGATGGGCTGGAAGGGGCAGCGTGTCCCTGGCACAAAGCAGAGCCGTGCCTCTGTTCCTGCTGGGGCTGCGCTCTCTGACCTCTGCCTCCTGGCTGGGGCAAATCACCTCGGTGCCACCTCCCAGGCTGCTCTGAAGGCAGCAGAACCCTTCCTGACACTCCTCACCTCCCTGTGCCCCTGTCCCGAGGGCTGCTGTCTTCATTTGCTCAGCCAGAATCGCTGTGGTGTTTGGGGAGGCAGAGAAGGAGGCTGTGCCCAGCTGCTCTTGGCTCTCCTCAGCACCTGGATCTGCTGCTCCTGCCCCTTATTCCTTCTGCCACGGGAAGTGCCAGCAGTGCTGGGCCACCCGGGCAGCCCTGGGCTCTGGAGATGGGCAAGAGCTGAGTGTTTTATTCCCCTGCCAGGGCCTTGCTGAGCCGATGCTTTTCATCCCAGTGAGAGAGGGCTGCGAGCCAGCCAGCCCTGCCACTGCCAGCCTAAACCCATTCCTTGGCTCTTGGGTGTCGCAGCCATCCTGCCCCTGCTCCCACAGCCCTCTGTGGACCAAATTTGTTGCAGGAAGTTGCTAGGAAACTCAGAACTGGCTGGCTGGCTTTTTCTCCCCTCTGTTTTATTTAATTTTTCCTGTGTTGTGGCATTGTCTGAAGGAAGAGCTCAGGAATGCTCACTTGGAGCGCCGTGCTCCTCCAGGGAGCCGTGATTTGAAGTTTGGTGCTTTCAATTCTGGAGATGCTGGGTGAATGTGGAACTTCCCTCTCCTCAAACCCTGCCTGCTCATTTGCACGTTGCTCAGGGCAGGCCCAGGAGCTCTGCTGGTTTCTGTGGGTGGCTGTAACACAGCACAGCAGCCCCAAAGCCTCTCTCTGTGCCTCTGCAGCTCCTTGGGTGCAAGGTCTGGAACATCACGTGGAGCTGTGGCTGCTCTGTGGGCTTCTCATCTCTGCCTCCCTTTGCTGGGCCACTGCTGAGCTATTAAGGCCAGGAGAGGTGTTTGTGCTATGCTTTGGCCACTTTTGGTTTTTAAAATTTTAAATTTTTTATTATTATTTATTATTTTATTATTATTTTATTTTTATATATACTTTACATATATTTTAATATATTATTTATTCTTTTATTAATTTAATTTATTATTTTTTGTTTTTCTCTTATACCCAGAGAACGAGACTGTAGCTGAGCTCTCTGATGTGGCTGCTCTCTCTGCCCTTTGCTCATAAAACCAAAGGAAGGCATTTCTGCTTTTTTAAAGTTTGTTTTTTGTTTTTTTTTAACGGTTTTTGGGGTGTTTCACAAGCCACTTCCCCTTCCCTCTTGCTGAAATGCTGCCCCAGCTGCCAGAGCAGCACTGCTCTGGGTGGGGGCCTTTGGGACCAGGGCTGTGCTGCTGTCCCCTCCCCACGTGTCACCAACTGCTCTGCCTGGTGGCACCAGGGCCCCAGTCCAGTGTTTCAAACAAATGGATTTCCTATGTGGATTTCATCCATTAATCCTCTTTGTTTGAAGCCCCAAGTGGGATTAATTTATGGTGACAAACTGAAGTGGTTCTAGGGGGTCTGTTAGGCTTGGAAATCATGGGGTGGTTTGGGGTGGAAGGGACCTTGAAGGTCACCTCATCCCACTCCTGCCATGGCAGGGACACCTCCCACTGTCCCAGGCTGCTCCAAGCCCTGTCCAGCCTGGCCTTGGGCACTTCCAGGGATCCAGGGGCAACCCCAGCTGCTCTGGGCACCTGTGCCAGGGCCTGCCCACCCTGACAGGAAACAATTCCTTCCCAAAATCCCATCTAACTCTGCTCTGTCAGAGTGAAGCCATTCCCCCTTGTCCTGTCACTCCCATTCCTGAGGAACAGCCCCTCTCCAGTTGTTGGTAGCCCTTCAGGCACTGGAAGGCCACAATGAGGTCACCCCAAAGTTTGGTTCTCCAGGTTGGAAACAGCCCCAACTTTCTCAGCCTGTCCCCACGGGGGAGGTGTCTCCATTCCAGCTCCCGTGGATTATGTGACACCACCACGAGCACTGACTCGAGCCTGGCCATTCTGTGTTTGTTTATTGGCGCAGAGAGCTCAGGCCAGGTTCATCAGGAGGCAATTAATCTTTCTGTAATCCCTGGGAAACACGTGAGGGAGCAGGAGCGGGGCAGGCCCAGCTATCACCCCCCAAATGCAGCATCCCTGCGACCTCCAGGCCCTTTTGGGGCTCTCACTTGGTGATATCTGAAGCTCTCCTGGCACGGGGACAAGGCTGGCAAGGAGGGGACAGAGAGCTCACACCAAAAATATGGTGGCACGATAGCCTGGGAAGGATGATCCCGTGGCTCGGGGAGATACTGGGTGAGATGGAGATGGAGCAACCAGGGAGCTCTCGGTTCTCCTTTCTGTGGCACTGAGCGGTCAGGCAGGGCTTTCCTCTGCCTCACCTAGAAACTGGCCGTCCTGAACCATCCAACCTTCCGGCAGTGTGTTCTTTCAGGGCTCAAAATAGTTCCTGTGTTTGTCACACTGGGGATTTCACAATAGCTGCGGGGTGACTCACAGGCAAAGGCCAAACAGCCACTCCTGTCACCTGAGCAGGGACCTCTCACCCCTCAAATCCACCAGCTGAGCTTTCCCTCCCTGCCTTCTAGGAGCAATCCCAGTCATCTCCTGTTTCCTGGGATTCCTGGGTGTGTGGTGATTGCAGGGCCAGCACCCACTTTGCTCCAGAGTTCTCCAGGAAGATCCTTTGCACTGTTTCCTCCCTGGCTCCTGGCACGGCTCTCTGGAAGTGGTTTACTGAGTAACTTTGATGTGACACTTGTGGAATGCACATTCCAGCCCTGATCCTGCACCGACCTGTCACCGCTGACTTGCTCAGGGGCTGCTGCTGGCCACGAGGGGATTTTGGGGGTTTAAATGACTGTAATGAACCCCCCTGGAGTTCAGCAGCACCTTCTGGGCACCATGCTGGCAGCTGTCTGCTCAAATTCTTTAATTCTTTTTTTTTGGTGCTAATTAGCACCCCAAGGACAAATTATCTGTGGGATCGAAATGTCCAGGAGTGGAGGAGCTAAAAGATGGAAGTGGCATCCAGCAGTTTTATTTGGGATCTCACAGTCTGGGAGGCTGCTGGGATGTGGCTGTAGCCTTCTGTCAGGGCTGGGGGATGAGCAGATGTGGAGAAAGGGGCAGAAGATCCTTGGAATTTCAAAGCTTTCATGGTGCCCAGGGTGACTTGCTGGGCTCAGTTCAGGATTGCCCATGCCAGGCACGGTGCATCTCCTTCTGCCTTGTGTGGTAGGAGCAGGACAGCTGGAATTTGGGCTCAGGAGGGCCATGGACACCTCAGGAAGGGATGGACTGCCTGGCCTGTACCAGTGTCTCAAAGCTGCTGTGTGGGGTAACCTGTGTCTTCTCTGCACTACAGATAATCTTCCAAAACCTCCTGCTCACTCCATGATCTCAGGTCTCCTTCCTACTTCAGCTTCTGCTGCCATCCTAAGGGTCAGTTTGGTCCCCTGTGGGAAGCAGTGACATTTCCACAGGCTCATGCTCACACTGTCCCTGGGCCAGCCCTGCCTGGCTCTGCAGTGCTGCTGCATCAGGAGCTGCTGATGTCCTTGAGCTGATTTTCCCTTGGAGATGCTGCTCTCATTTCCTCCAGGGTGCCCAAGCTGTGACCTCCCCTTGCCATCTGGGGGATATGGAAGGAGGGAAGTGCTCCCTTTGGAGCTCAGGGACAAGGGAATGGGGAAGGGTGGGTGTTGTTCAGGACAGCTCAGCACAGGGGAGAAATGCAGAGGTAGCTCTGCTCTGTCCACCTGCAAAGCTGGCACCAGGCTGGCTCTGGTCACTGGCCTGGTCACCCAGGGCATGTAGGAAGGCACTGAACGAGGCCAGGCTGGGCTGGGGTCACTCCCCCAGCACAATTTGCAGCCTGGTTTGCACACCCTGACCCCCAGCCCAGCTCCCTGCTGTGCTCCTGGGTCCTTCCAGGTGCCTGCTGGGCCCAGCATCCTGCAGGGGCTGAGCTGGCAGGGGCCCTGCCGGTGGGAAGCGAAGCTCCAGGGGAAGCCCCACCTCTTCTCACAATATTTACTTCCCCTCCTTGGAGCTCTCCCAGCTCCCTAAGTGCAGAGCAAACACAGTGGGGCACTTCTTGCTCCTGTTTGGAAGGGCTGAGCTCTTCCCCCTGCTCCCTCCACATCTCCCCCTGCCCTGCTCTCTGTGTGAGAGCATCTGGTGGTGACTTGGTGAGAGCCCAACCAAGCTGAGCTAAAGAAACCCCCTCATTTCTCCTGAAACCAGCAGGAGCTGCTGTCCTGCCTTTGGGCAGCGAGCCCAGCTGGAAATGGATTTGTCCCCTGTGGTAAGGACATGGCTGTCCCTGCCAGCTCCTGGAATGCAGCAAGACTTCAAAACACAGCAGAGATCCCTCGTTTTCCTCTCTCTGCTGTAGGATTTTCCCAATATTCCTTCCTCCCCTCCCCAGCCTGTCTCTTGGCACGTGGTTATAGCGTCACCCAAACTGTGTGAAGCTGTCCAGAGGGGCTTGTGGTGTTTACAGCAGGAATGAATCCTCCTGCAAGCTCCCCCGTAGGTTTTCCAAACACAGAGATGTAAACTGGAGAGTGGGAAGAAAGGTCACAAGCAGAGCTTGGCTGGCTCCTCCAGGAATTCCATCCACAGTGGGAATTGTTTTCCCTGGGGGAGAGGCAGCCTGGGCTGGGGGAGATGGAAGGAAGAAGGGGGAGGAACTGGAATTGTGTCAGTGGGGAGCTGTGGGTGAGCTGGAGGGAATTCTGTGCCGTGATCCGCTGACTCAATGAACTTCTGGGAATATTGGGATGCTCCTGAGTCAGCAGCTCCTGTCTCAGCCCTCTCCCACGTGTGACACATCTCCTGGTGCAGCTGGACTCTGAGTTTTACAAAGTCATGGAATCACTGAGGTTGGAGAAGGCTTTCAACATCATCCAGTCCCAGCTGTGCCCCATCCCCAGCCCAGAGCTCTGAGTGCCACCTCCAGGGATGGGATCCAACCCTCCCTGGGCACTTCCAGTGCCTGAGCTCCCTTTCCATGGGGAAATTCCTGCTGCTGTCCACCCTGAGCCTCCCCTGGCCCAGCCTGGGGCTGTTCCCTCTCCTCCTGTCCCTGTTCCCTGGCAGCAGAGCCCCATCCCCACCTGGCTGCACTCTCAGATAGCTCTTGGTTGGATTATCTGCATGCTCAGGATTTCTAGGAATTCACCTGTGATATCATCAGACAGCTTCTACACTTTGAGGTTTCCTTGCTTCCTTTTTTGTTTCCCCCATGCTACAAACAACAGGCTACATCTCCTTTCCTAAAAGTTTCCATCTGCCTGTGGTGGGAAGTGGTTTGGGCTTTGGAGCCTGGAGGGAGGATCCAGCCACCCTGCGAGGCTGTGGGCAGCTTTAGGAAGCAGAAACTCTGCAAGTTTCCCCTCTGGTGTGATGGCTGGGGCCAGCCATGCTGAGCAGGAATTGGAGCAGCAGGAATTCTGTGTTCCTCGCTTTCTCTGGACTCACCCTGTTCCTCCCTTCCAGGCCAAGAACAAGGAGACGGGCGCTTTGGCAGCTGCCAAGGTCATCGAGACCAAGAGCGAGGATGAGCTGGAGGATTACATGGTGGAGATTGAGATCCTGGCCACCTGTGACCACCCCCACATTGTCAAACTGCTGGGAGCCTTCTACTGGGATGGCAAACTCTGGGTAAGGCTGGGGCTGGGACGTTCTCGCTCTGCCCAGAGGAAAGGGCTGCTCGTGGTGGAGCAAAACCTCTGGAGCTGCCTGAAGATCAGAAATGAGTCGTGAACTGTGCCCTGCTCACTTTGTGCTCAGGGACTGGATTTTCCCTGCTGTCATTTTTATCACCAAACTCTCTTCTAACTAAAGCTGCTTGTAAAAACCCAAGGGAAGGCCAAGCCATCGTCACAGAGAAGTTGGAGTTGTGTTTTTTCTGCCATTAAGGGTTTGTAAGGGTAGAAAAAGCATCACCAACAAGTTCCTCTCTCTTTTAAAGCCCCTCTTTTAAAACACCAGCTGGAAGGGTAACTCTTCCAACTGATTTTCTGGGTTTGGGGCTGATTTGTGGCTCAGCACTTGTAATTCAGAGGCACCTGAGCTCCATTTCCCATGGCTATGGAAGTGCAGGGACATAAAATGCAATGGAGTGGGTTGGTGCAGGGGCTGGAACAGCAGGTTCCTGCAGCTCTCTCTCCCCTAGCCCAGCAGGTTTATATATTATTTTTTATTTCCCCTGCCTGCTGTTCTCTCTGAGTGCCTGGAAGCAGAGGAAGCTGAGCGTGAAAGGCACCTTCCTGTGCTCCGTGCAGGGGATGGAGAGGCTGAGGGAATGAACCCCTGGATACTCAGATAACTCTGTGCCTGTGTCAGGGAAATCAGGGAAATCAGGTGAACAGGAGGATTTCCAAACCCATCTCCTCATCTGCTCCTCCTTTAACTTCAGGAAGTCAGGAGAGTGGCAAGGGGTGCGTTCAGCAGCTCTGGTGCTTTTTCCTTCCTGTTTTTAATGTTTCACATACCACTGTGGCCTCCCTGAGTACATTTAACAGAGTTAAAGAAGAGATCTCAACTTTGGGGACTTGCACTTGTGTGAGCTGAGCTGTTGGAGCTGCCAGTCCCTGCCTGTGCTGCCTACAGGGCCAGCACAATCCCAGTCTGGTTCATTCCTGGGTTGAGCAGTGCAGGAGAGGGATGTTTTATTGGGCTGATTCAGCAAGCACCTTTTGCAATGTCAACCCGTGGCTGCTTATTTAAAAATCCATGGATAAAGCCCCTGAGTTCTCTGGGACACCCAGCCTGGAGTGCTGGAGTGTTTCTGCTCCGTATTCTGATCTCGAGGGAGCTGAGTCGTCCATTTGGTATTCTGGATTCTGAGCCCTGGCTATGTTAAAGGACAGTGTAAATATGTACTGTGCTAAGGAGAGGAAGGACAAACATCCCTCCTAGGAGAGGACTTGGGATTTGGATAGATTGCAACTGCAGCAGGATTAATCTGGGCTAAAGTAAAAAGGCAAACACAGCTTGAGCCGGGGTGAGAGATGAGGCTGCTTTATCTGCCCCCCTGTTCTCTTGGTTTCACCACCCTGCTCTGCTGCATCCTCCACGTGAGGATGAGACATCAGCCCCCCTCCCCTTCCCTCTTTCCACCTCCTCCCTGCCATAGGAAGCTTTGCCTTCCTTCCTTCCTTCCTTCCTGGAGGGAAAACTGGATTGCAGAGTTCCTGGGCTCTGCCTTTGTCCTGGGAGTGCTTTGTGATGTCAAGTGCTGCCGACCTACTAAAATGAAACTCTGCAACAAGAGCCTCCTGTCTGGGGCTCTCCCACGAGGGCAAGATCTGGGATTCTGTCAAATCCACGCTACAGCCCCAGCCATTGTTCTGGGATCCTTCTCTTTATTTAATTATTGGAGTAGCATTTGTGTTTCATTGCTCAGGCTGGTTTTATTAATGCTGCAGTGTTTTCCTGGCTTGGAGGGGAGTCACTGAGTCAGGCTGTTTTATTTCTGCAAGGCTTTAAGTCCTTACCAGGTTTTCTCTAAAGTCAAAACCTTCCTCTTCTCGGTGACCAGTGCTGCTGGGGAAAATCTGCATCTAAATATAAACACCAGCTTTTATTGTTCTGCCCACATCCCATCCTCATTTCTGTCTGTGCAGTTGTTTGAACCAGCATTTTCCTGCATCATTTGCATGGTGGGTGCCTGGGTTCTCAGAGTGGCTCTGGCTAAAACTTCTGGGGGAGCCAGAACCTGCTGTGGTTTCCTTGCTCCTCACAGCCCAGCATGGAAGGAGAACATTCCAAGTGAGCAGGTCCAGATGTGCCCAAGCTCCTGGGTGGCAGCAGCTCTTGGGCTCCTGAATAATTCACAGCTCAGTGCCACAAGCAGGGCTCTTCCTAAATCAGTCTGGCTGCTCTTTCCTTGAATTAAGAAGGAAAATGTGTGAGGAGCCCTCCTGGTCCCCCTGAGCTGTGTCAGCTCCCCGTGGCTCCTCTGCCAGGCTCTGGCTTCGCGCTCCAGCAGCCGGGAGGGGACATGAAATATTTACAGAGCAGAAAACCTTTCTGTGCAAGGGGAAGTGGCTCATCCTCCAGCAGCTGCTCGGAAATCCACAGCACTGAAAGGAAGGCACAAACCAGAGGACCCTCTGCAGAGAGGCTGTGCCCTGCCAGCAGCTCCTATCTCATTCCATCCCCCTCCATCTCCTTTTCTTTGCTCGTGGCAGAGGCCAGGAAGTCTTGTGCTGGTTGAAAACAGCCCAGAGAAGCTGCAAAACTGCCCTGGTGGGAGCTTTCAGGATTTTATTTTATTTTTATTACAAGCCCTGTGGCATTTCATGTTCTTTTGCATAAATCCTGGCTGCTGGAAATGGGGGCACCAAATGAAAGCTGAGATTCTCATTCTTTTTTTTTTTTTAAGAGTTTGGTCTGAGTCCTCGTGGCTGGGACACATTTTAAACTCTCTTTTCCTGCAGTGTGATGCAGGACTTGAAAACACAGAAGCAAATCCCCCTCACCCAGTATAGCACAGCTTTTAAAATGGACTTTTTAAAGTTATTTGTGGCTTAGGAATGGGACTGAAATGGGCTTTGCTTGCTTTGAACAGAATTTTCACTGATAATTATTACAACATGGGGAAAAAACCAACAGCCCTTGTGTTTGGTGTCCCTCTCGAGGGCTGCGTGTTTGGGAGAGGTTTTTTTTTCCCCCTTCCAAAACAACAACAACAAACCAGACTGAAACCTCAGAGGAAGGGAGGAACTTTTGATGTGCTGCTGCTGAATCCCTCTGCTGTTTCCGAGTGTCTCCAGCCGGAGCAGTGATAAGATGAGAGGGGAGGAGAGTTTTGTTTGCTGTGAAGAGCCTGACCTTTCCTGCAGGAAAGCTTTTCTCCCAGGGGATGGTGGCTGTGCCCAGACAGCCCAGCAGGGCAGAAAACCCAGGAGCCTGGCGAGATGCTCCAGCACTGAGTCTGCAGGAATCTCTAGAAATTCATGAAAATATCATTTGGCCCCGGGTGTTGAACCACTGTGCTGCTGGTGGGACAACTTTTCCAGGGAAGCCCTGGGGAATTGTCTCCCCCTCCCTCCTTTCCCAGCCCCACGGTTGCCATGGCAAAAGGGATTTTGAATAAAGAGCCTTTTCCTGGAGATCAAAGCAGGGATTGCTGTACCGTGCAGGTAACCCTGCCTGGCTGGGCCTTTTGGGGAATTTAAGCGGCTCAGGGTTTCTCCCGTGTGGGTACAAACTCCTACAGCTGGCACAGAGACTGCAGCTCTGTGCTGCTCTTTGTACTCACCTTAAATAAAAACCTTTGCATTTTCTGCGGGCAGGCCCTGACCTGTTCAGCCAGGGACTTTTGGGATTGCTCCCCCTTTGATATGGATGTTGACTGGAGATTTGGGCATTCTTGAAAATCCTGTAGCATAAAGAAATGCTCATTATCCCATGCGCTGCTGGGCTGTGTAAAGCATCTGCAGCGTTTGGTTCTCCCAGGCTGGCAATACCTTTTCTCTAAAACAAACAGAAAAGGGAGCTGGTAGCAGGATCAGATTCCCCACAGTTTTCCTTAGCAAAGGGAGGTTATCACAACTTGCAGGGATGTCTCGCAGGGTGAGCAGCCCGAGCTTGGCTGGATGCCCGTGGGGAGCTGTTTGTGTGAGTGCTGGACCAGAGCAGGCTCTCCAGGCTGCTCAGTCCCTGAGGAATCCCACGGCTCTTTGTGTCCCTTTAAAACTCCACTTGGCAGCAGAGCTGCAGCCCTTCCTACTTGGCCTCCTGCTCCTGGGGCTTTGTACCAAACTTCCCCCAGAAGTTCTTGAACTTTGTTGTTTGCAGCTCGCGGGAGTCGGACGTAGCCAAGGGAAAACCCAGGAAAACAAAGTGATCCCAAACTTTGCTAAACAGCTCACCAGCGTCCTTTTCCTTCCTCCTTTCCCCTGCTGCAGGAACATAAATCCCAATCGCTCCCAGATCTGGCTGTTCCCTGGGACACGCGGGAGCTGCTGCAGGATCAGCCCCGCTGGGAAAACCAGTGTGGGGGTGGGGTTTGCTGGACCGGTTTCCAAATTCCTACCAGTCCAGAATTCGGGCAGAACTGCAAAACACCCCCAGGAACTTCAGCAGGGTGGGTAGGAGAGGAGCAGGTGTGGGCAGATATCAGCAGGCATGGGGACAGGGCAGTGCTTGGCCCTGGGAGCTGGGACATCACAGTGTCCCCTCCCTGTCCTGAGGGGCAGCTCCTCATCTTGGCCAGAGCTGCAAAGTGGAAAAAGTGATGCAGCCCAGTGGATTTATTTTTTAATTTATTTTTTTTTGCACTTCCCTGCATTTCCAGGGTCAGCAGTTTGCTGTTCAGAGTGGCATCATTGAAGTGGGTGGTCACGTCTGCTCCACCTTGGGGGCCGTGTCCCTGCCAGCTGGGATGCTGTGGATCAGATGTCCAGCTGACATCCTCCTTCCCTTCTCTCTGCCCAACCATTCCCAAAGGCCTGCAGGTCTAAATCTTCTTCTCCTAAATCTGGGCAGCAGGTTCCATGAGCCCCCTCCGTGCTGTGAACGTGAGCTTTAGCATTCAGCCTCTTGGCAAGTCACTCTAAATCCTGTTCTGGGTAAAACTGGGGGGTTTTCCCTTAAAACAGAGGGAAACCGAATGATTTTTAGCAACCCCCAAAAATGATTTATGTATCAGA